AATATGATGTCGCAGAACTGTGCCTGACGTCGTCAACGGGCAGGCTTGCCGCCTGTTGCGACTATGGACAGAACGAACAGCCGCTTTCTGCCGTGAGCAGCCTTCTACTGCCACTGCTCAGCGCGATACTGCCCAACTTTGGTCACATTGCTCGGGCTCTGGGCGCGGGACCCGAAACAGAAGTAGACCCGCGGGGCGCGCGAGTGGTCGCGGGCCTTGTAAGGTGCACTCCAGGTGTCATGCGAGAGCTGCACAGGAAAACTTGACTAGAGAAAGGCCCTGAGCCGCGACACGTCGAGTGGGTATCCTCCGCGTACTACAACTCGAGGCTCGAGACAGAAAGCTGGCTATGTCCTCTGCTGAATCTGCCGGTGCTGAGAAGCACCTTGGGGTCGATCATGTCCCTTCTCTGCACAGTCCCTTGGACGCGCTTCCAGCGACGGGGGACGGAGGGGTAGATCCGTGGGTATTCATGCGCAAGCTCGACCGGCGGCTGTTACCGTGCATATGTCTCTTGTACATTCTCTCCTTCCTGTAAGTGTCACTCTTTCAACCACCACTTCGAGATGTGCTCACGGCGTATACCGGCAGGGACCGCACAACGATTGGTACGGCTGCGCACGTTAGCTTGTGCGGCCGCGTAGTGCAGACGGGTTCTCACGACACGCCCGTGGTGGCAGGCAATGCCAATGTTGCTGGTCTAGTGGCCAACCTCCGCTTGACAGGCCTTCAGTACAACATTTGCTCCAGGATGTTCTTCGTACGTCAGATCACGGCCTTGCCTCCCCTTCTCCCTCGCGGGACCGCGAGCGTGTCTGTTGACTTCCGTGAAACAGGTGACGTACTGTGTGTTCGGAGTTCCGTCGTACGTCTGTCCGGGTTCTGTCTATCGTTTGCGGCGATAGTAGCCATAGATCATCCGCCTCCCAGCAACTTGATGCTGAAGGCGACATCCCCGTCAAGATGGAGCGCGTCTCTAGCCTAGCACCCCCTCGCGCTACTCATTGAGACCCATGACAGTCCCTACCCTGGCCTTCAGATGGGGTGTAGTCCTGTTGTGCACTGCGTTTGTTAAGGAGTTCTGTGGCCTCCTCTCGTACGTGTGCACATCCTCGGATTCTCCGTATCCAGTTTACTCATCGCATACCTGGTAGGACACGTTTATTCTTGGGAATCCCGGAAGTACGTTCCCAGTCACCGGGAAGAATGTGCAGAAGGCATCAAGACTGACGTTACGCAGGCCGGACTGGCACCCGCCATTGTGTCCTACATATGCACCCGAGCGGACTCCGCACGACGGATTGCTACATACTCATCGACCACGTCGATCGCAGGTGCGTAGTGCTGGCGTCGTATTTGCTTGCCTCCCGTTCTGATTCCAGCTTGAACCCCCGTCAGCGGCGTTTGGGGGTTTGCTTGCATATGCGATAGAAAACATGGATGGGTTAGTTTGTCGTATGGCGCTGTCTGTTTATGTTGGATACGTTTGCTAACGGGCTCGAGAAGCATTTCCGGGTGACCGGGATGGGCATGGATTGTGAGTTCCATGGCCAAGGAGTGCTTTGAAAATCGCGCACCTCACTCTCTGCTTTAGTTCCTGCTAGAAGTCCTCGTGGCGATCGTAGCTGCCATATTCGGCTACTTCGTCGTTGACGACGTACGCCTTTCTCTGAAATTGGCGCATGCTGTCGATACGTATCTATAAAGACACTGGCCAGTGTCCGGACAATGCGAGATCCTGATCGATTCTGAACGGGCATGGCTCCTCGCCATGCTTGAAGAGGATCGGGCGGGTCTCTTTACGAATCTAAAGGCAAAGTTCCTCGGACAAGCCCTGCGGGATCCGTATGCGTACCTCATGACTCTGCTGTCTTTGTTGTACGTGTTTCGCTCCTGCTCGGCGTGTCATCATCTGATAGATTGTCCAGCATCTTCATCCCGTCATACTCATTTACTCTATTCCTGCCGACAATCATACTGGGCTCAGGTTACTCGCCCGCAAACGCCCGGGTCCTCTCCATCCCTCCAAACATGGGCGGCGAGATCACCACGGTCATCATGGGGTTCCCATCCGTGCGCCACCGCGTACGCGGTCCCTTCCTGCTCGCTAGCCTCATACTCGCCCTAGTTGAGTATGTCATCACCACCACATCTCCCGGCGCAGGGCACGCATGGACGGTAGTCGCGTCCTGCGGCATCTTTCCCAGCGTCGCATTTGTCTTGGCTTAGACCGGCGGGAACTTCGGGGGCGAGGTCAAGCGCGCCGTCATGATCGCATTGGTCGTTGGCTGCGGAAATCTTGGCGGGTACGGGTTCCCACTTGTTATATCATCAATTGCAGAAAACAAATTGCGCCGGTATGTCCTGACAGCATTACTAGGTCGTTTGTGTATCAGCCTCAGGATAGCCCGCGCTATCACTCTGGACACGTGTCAAACGTCGCATGCCTCTGCGTGGCGTACGTTACGTTCCCTTCCATCTACGTTGTCCTACTGCTACGGCACCAACGGTGCGCGTTGTGCCATAATTCTGATCTGTAGCTTGACTATGCTAGAGTTCTGGAGGCTCAACCGGGGGAAGGCGGCGCGGTGCGCACGAGAAAACCACACAGGCCGACTTCAACGAGTTCGCCGGACTGGGGGATTCATCTCCATTTTTCCGGTGGGTGACCCTTCATCCTTCTTACTCATCGTGATACTGATGGCTCATAATATGCAGATACGTTATATGCGCAGTCATCACGTCGTAGATTCCCGGATATTATGGCAGGAAACTGGACGTACCCACCGCATTGTTGCATCTTAGAGGATATTACCCTCTACTAGCATAACAGTCATGCCGTATTTAACATTGTCAGAGCCGTGTTGAAAGCCCCTGGAAATAGGATGGCAATCGTAGGCGCCCTTGGCTGTGCCAACCTGGCATACTTTGTGTTGTGGCACGCGTTGTTGATGCGTTGTTTGTCCACCACGTGGCGCTGCGTTGTTCGCAAGTACCGCAACTCCACCGCGACCTCCACCGCCCACAACGCAGAGTGTTCAAGTACTCAGTTCCTCCTCCTGCTCAGCACTATGAAACCTCTCGAGTGAGCTCCGTCACCTTTCAGTCAACTGTCCTGATACAGCGGTGCCACGTTCGCCCGCTCTCGATCCACTGCTCCCCGCACTGGCACCACTCGGCGTCACGGTCGATTTGCATAGGCTCTACTCGGTCAGGAACGTTCACAGCGGCTCTTAACCCAGCGGCGCGTGGTACGTGAATGACACAGACTCGCATGCCAGTCTCACATACGGTCCCACGTAGGGGTGCGGCCGCCCGATCCAGGATAGCAGGCCTAAGTTTATACTGCAGTGTTCTGCACAAGAGAGTTATAAGCGATGCGCGGCTCGCCTCGGGGGTTGTTTGGTGAGCATCTGATTTCGCTTGTCGTGGTAGACAAGCATGATATGCTATTCTCGGCCGTGAACACCATACATGACTACGCCAAGTCAGGGGCTCGGAGCTTGGCGCTGGTTGCTGACAAATGTTCTGAGCAGTCCAGAGGGGTAGAAGAGCAATATCGTTTGGCGTGATGACTTTGATTGCAATGCCGTTGCGGTGCGGTTACTGGGACTACTCGAGTACAGACGCGCCACGATCTTCAAGTCCATGTCATCAATACAACCACGGAATCAAAGCGTAGGGAGTTCTCTCCACCCACGCTTCCCACTCGCTTCCAAACTCCTTCCGCAACAACCCGTCCTCCTTCCTCACTCTGACAAAGACCATCACCACAGGCACGTAGAGTAGGTCTGCCGCCCATACCATTCCGAACACCTTCCCCGGAAGCGTGTGCAACATCCCGCACTCCGTCAGCCACGCCCCGTCGCCGAAGCAGGCAACAAGAAGGCCTGCGATGACCAGGCAATGCGCAGTGTAGCCCGGGTGGCGGACGACCGAGTATGGGCCGTTCGTCACCAGGCGGTGGTCTTTGCGGATCGTAATCTCGAAGGTGAAGTGCTTCCCCATCGCTCGGTAGCATGCGATGCGGATGAGCCCGCCGACGACCATAAGAACCCAGCCTGCGGCGAACGTCGGCGTAATGCGGACGCGATGGGCCGCGCGGCCGGCATCGCCGTGGTCGAGCGTAGCGAGGACGTATGTCGAGGCGGCGGATGGGATGTGTGCGGCGAGGACGACGAGGATCTCACACACAATGACAGCGCGGACGATGCCCTGCGGTTCCGGGAGTTGTCCACGTCAGTGCGAGCGAAAGATGGATGCGGTGCGCCACTGTACCTTGGACAGCTTGATAAACCATTTGGGCCGGATGGTCTTCCCCATGTGGCTCATCGCATTCCTGGCCGAGCCTGATACAAACGAGTTCGGTGGGGTATAGGTGACATGGTGCGCCCAGAGCCCTGCAAGCAGAAGGGGAACCTTTGCCCAGTTCGGAAAATGAGCAAAAGTCATCTAGGATGGGAGTGCAGCTCCAGGGAACTCGTCCCTTGGATTATATAGGGATTCTTTGACGCTTAACAGTACCCGCACTCACTGCGCAAGAGAAGGGGGGGGTTTAAGGCGGGGCTTCTACATTCATTTGTCTATGCGGAAGAGCCTTTCTTTCGCTGAATTTGGCCTAGATGAAAGCATTCTACAGGAACGGCCCTCACCTGCGGAACCACTATCAGGGTCGTTCTCCTTCCCGATGGCTGAATACGCATGTAAGTGTGGAGCGGCGGCCCCCGCTCGCCCAAACCCTGGGAAGAAAGGTCAGTCTTCCTGTTACCGTGCGCTATACTATTGCCACCCGACACAGATAGTGTTTGTGTGTATGTGGACATGAGAGTGGCCATCTCGTATGCAGTTTGCACGTCTTCAAGTCTCCTCAGCCCTTGTTTGGTGCTGCAATAGTCGGCTTTCCGAGCTTGGCAGTGTGTTTTCCCCTGGAGACTCTCGCATTGATGGTTGTGTTCACTGGCAAAAACGCATGGAAGCAAGACGATTGGCAAAAGAACAGTAGCCCACCGCGGGGGTCGAACCCGCAGCCTTGAGATTTCAGATCAGACACTCGCCTAGACCGTAAAAGTCTCACGCTCTATCCGATTGAGCTAGGCGGGCGTTGAGAGAAGTATTACTGGCATGTTCATATCCCACTGAGATTGCATCACCTATCGCGCAAAATGAATCATAACGTCATCGAATGACGGATCGCGCGGGGGAGACCGATCCCGTCCGAGCACGCGGGTGGGCGCCTGGCTGGCTCGCATTCGCCCGCTTTCCCAGCTTCTCTCTTCGCCCAGCACTCGACCTTCCTCGCCGCTCACCCAACGCTACTCACCGTCTCCTTCATTGTTTGACGATGGCCTCCCGTGCTTTCTCTCGCCGCTTTCTCGCTCAGTCTCTGCGCGCCCCCGCGGCCGCGCGTGCTGCTGCTCGTCCCGCCGGCAGGCGGCTTGCCAGCACAAGCGTCGAGCACGCCGCGAAGACGAACAGTGACACCCCTTGGATCGTAAGATTTGCAGCATGTACCTCAGCGAAGACGACCTGACGTGCACGACGCGTAGATTGGCTCTGGTCTCGTCTTCGGGCCTCTAGTACGTACCCGCGCGCGATGACGTCGTACGAGGACCCCGCTCACGTTCGCCCCCACAGGCCCTCTACCTCCTCGTCTCGCCGGGCAAGGACAAGGGCAAGCACGCCGCTGACGCGCATCACGCGAAGGCCGCGAAGGCGAACGCGCCGTCCGAGCAGCTCCTCCAGGATCCCGCGCCTAAGGAGGAGGAGGCTGCACCCGCGCCCGAGGGCGGCGAGTCCTCGACCGAGGTCGAGAACTCCACCGCTCAAGCTGTCGTACGATCCCCCCCTCCGCGATTCTCCTCAGGCCTGGTATTGATTGCGTACGTTACAGGCCGCGGACTCTCCCAAGGACGCGCAGGCCGCTGAGGAGGCGGTAAGTCCTCCCTTCCGGTCTGGGCCCTCCCAGCACTGACGGGTACGATGACGTCCACGCCCGTGCCTCAGGGCTCCTCGGCCTCCTCCTCGGACGGCAAGCTTCACGGTACGCCCGCGATGACTGACGCCGACGGCAACACCGCGTCCGCGGAGGAGATCGACGCGTCCCTGAAGCTCGCGTTTGTGCGTATCATATCCGCCACGCCCATCTCCCCTTCACTGCTATCCACTCCGCATTTACGCCGTGCGCGTACTGATCACCTACATCTCGAGCAGAAGGCTAACCTGCCTGAGGACGCCCAGCGCGCGGAGGCGCAGGACGCAAAGTACTCCGAAGGCGCGCCCGGCCAGACCTCCGAGGCTGAGACCGACCACGAGCAGAAGGAGAAGCCCGGCCGCCCGCACACTGGCACTTTCCAGGGCGACGAGGATGGTGGTCCGACCGACCTTGGCGACGCTCGTGAGAGCGCGAAGGTAAGTGCTGTCCCCGCGTGAGCGCAGGGAGTTCGGTGGCTGACGCGCGCGCGCATACAGTCAAAGCAGGCGCCCAAGCAGGCGGCACAGGAGTAAACATGGACATGCCACTTTGGACACAGCGCATGTATCTAACTGTCTGTCTGCTACAAAATGGACTTTGGATGTTGTTTGTCACGAGTCGGTTGAGGTTTAGAGAGCCATTCCGAGGCGGGGTGACACCGGATACACCAACCGACTGCCCTGGCATACCGTATGTATGCTTCACGCGACAACACCACGAAGTCACAGTTCATCCCAATGCAAACAACGGGTGACCCACATAACAACGCACACATGCAATAACTCAGTTGCCCCCTGTTTTGGAGTTCACTCCGCTTTGGGCTTCAGCTCGGGAACCTGGCCTGCCTTGACTGCCGCGACGTAGTGCTGGCGCTTCTCCAAGTCTACAAAACACAGTGAGATAAGCATGTGGGCGGCCCTAGCCAAGAACTCGACCGTACCGTGAGCCCACATCGCAGCGCCGATGCGGTTCGAAATAGAGAAGACGAGGCCGACGAGCGGGAGCCGCTCCGCGAGCGCCGCGGCGAACCCGAACGCTGCACAAAAACGTTAGCGCATCCGAGCGATTGACACTGAACCCAAAAGAGCCCCCATGTGACTCAGGCGCACCTCGGTAGTCCCACTTGCGCTCCTCGATGAAGATGGAGACCTGCTCGGGCGTCATGTTCTTCGCCTTGAAGTACTGTGCGGGCACAAGATGTCAGCGCACGTCGCTCGATGCCGGAGAGGACTTGGTACTAACCGGCTGGTGGAGGTACCGCGCGGTCCCCAGCGCCCTGAACCACGCGGCGATCGCGAGCCCCGCGAACGGCACAAAGTTGAGCGGGATCATGAGCACTGCGCGAATGCCGCACACACGTCAGCTTCACGGTGCGGACGGCCGCATCGCCCCGAGGCGGGGGCGGGCGCTCAGCACGGGGTACGCACGTTTCGCGACGACGCGCCCGACGGGCCCGGAGAGGAACGCGCCGAGCCCCCAGCGGCCGCCGTGCGGCGCGCGCGGGGGGCGCTCCCACTCCTCGACGTACGGCCCCCACCACTCGGCGGGCTTGCCGCGCGAGGCGAGCGTCTGCGCGTACGCGCGCTCGCGCGCGACGCGGATGTTGCGCGAGAGGAAGAAGTAGATCACGGCTGACACCTGGCTCGAGAGGAAGAAGAGCGTCGCGTCTGCGGGAGGGCGGTCAGCGTGCGTGCGGGGGAGGGGGGAGAGCGTGGCGGGGGTGTGCGCACATGTAGGGAGGTCGAAGGGCATGGGTATGCCAAAGAGGGCGTCGCGCGAGAGGCCGGTCACGCGAGGCGACCTATTGGGCGTGATGCAAGTACAGTCTGCTCAGCGCATGTCTGCAGACCAGGCGAGCACTCACTTGATGAGGAACACCTCGACGAACTTCCTCTGGATCTTGAACGTCCCGACCGCCTGCGCACGCCCGCTCAGTCCACCATCCCGTCGCCTGGCACCGTTCAGGCCAGCGTGAGACTCACCCAGACGAGGGCGACGGTGGCGCCGCGCACGAAGCCATGCTTGCACTTCTCCCAGGCGGGCACGTATAGGTTCCGGTCCGTGACGAGCCTGTAGAAGCCGACGACGACGTAGGACGGCGGGAACTGCAGCCGCGAAGTCGCATGGCGCAGGTGCTCGGGCACGTTCTCCTCGTACGGCGTCGGCGGGTCGCTGAACCCGCCTGGCAGGACCGCGTTCTCTGCGGCTGGGACGACCGACATCGCTCGTAAGTGAGTGCGAGGTTTAGGAAGTGGTCGCAACAGATTTCGGGAGCTTGTCAGTGCTTGGATGAGTGCAGTTGAATGGAGTGGAACGAGAGGCGGTGGGTGGTGGTGGCTGTGGCTGTCGAGAGCGTGTACCGCGCCTCAGCGGCATACCGTCATCCAGGCGCGCGGAGCGCCCAACGCTCCGGACGCAATGCCTATACAGTAGTACGTACTGGGCTCATCCATGTAGACCCTCCATGCGTACACCGTGACAATATGATGCAGCGAGGGCGAGGACTGCAATCAGGGGGAACGAGCACACCGGGATGGACTGGAGACCGTGGTATTGATATGCATTTGTACAACTCTACTACACTTCTTCAGCGCGGGGCACGGGAGCGTTGGTTCGTGATTGGACCGTAGATGCCACCGCCAGCCGACAGCGATCCAAAGCGTGGTTTCATCTCGTCTCGTCGATGGTAACAGCGCCGCGCGGGTGAGGGGTCGAGCGGGCGGTCGGCAGCGCGTCGCGTGCGGGGCTCAGTGGCCGCGGGAGACCTTGTCCAGCACTGCGATGGCGTTAGTCAATCGGCGCGATAAGAGGGGCGGCGGACGGGGAGGACTCACCGCTCTCGTGGGCGACCTCGCCGTAGTCCGTGCCCTGGATCTCGCTCGCGATGCCGACGAGCGCGCGCCGGAGGGCGTCCTTGGACGAGGCGAACAGCATCTTCTGCTTCACCTTCGAGTCGTCGGGCGACCTGATCGCCGCGATCGCGCGCGTCGCGTAGATAGCACGGCAGCCGTCAGCGATCCCATCTCGCCGTCTCGTCCTGCGCGCCGCCCCTCCGCCATGCCTTCACCGCACCGCACGGCGCCGTCACACCGACACGGGGCGGCACAAGGACGGGCCTGCGCCACGTCGAACGAGCGCGGGGGGGAGGGAGGGAGGCGTAGAGGGACGGCGCATAGAGAGGGAGGGAGGACTCACCAGGAGAAGAAGGTGATCTTGTTCCGCTTCCCGCCCTCGTGCTCATACTCAAAGTCGTACACCGCCCAGCGGCACTCGGCCTCGGGGAGCTCCGCGAGGAAGTCGTCGTACGTGCTCGCGGGCGGGCCGCGCTTCTCGACAACGATCTCGGTGTTGTCGGGGCTGAGCTTGTAGATGATGTACTTGTTCTTCTTGCCGAGCTTCAGCTCCTGGAACGCGTCCAGACACTCGGGGTTCACGCCGACACCGGAGGCCTGTCAAGCGCGGGGATCAGTACGCGCGGGGGTGAGCAGGAGCGGGCGGGCGACGGACCATGTTTGGGAGATGGAGGAGAGATGTGGTGGAGGAGGATGAGGATGAGGATGAGGAGGAGAGGCAAGGACGCTGGAAGGAGGCAAGGACAGGCCCGGCTGCTACTCTATAAGCATATCACGATGGCCGACCACGGCGATTGCCGCGCTCTGATTGGACAAGGCGGTGGCACACCCTCCCCTTCCGCTCGAGACGATCCACTCGCTGCGCTCGCTCGCTCTCGTCAGTCCCCGGAAGGGGTGTGCAATTCATAGTAGATACAGTAGTCTAGGTCGGGTTGTACCGTACGCGAGAATGAGAGCAATACAGCGCTGCCGGAGCGCAACTAACCACGGAGACCCTCACCGCCCATCCTGTTCGAACACCTCGTCCAACCATCGCTCGTAATCATACTCAGGTTCGCCTACGTCGTTCTCCGAGGACGGCATCGTCTGTCGGAGGAACTCGATAGCACTCGCGGGCAGCTGCGCGACACGGAGGTCAAGCTCCGTAACGTACGGCTGCGTCGCAGCATGAGTACCCGGCTTGGAAAATGAGATCGAACTCCATCTCACCTTGTCCGCAGCGATGCCACGGAAGGCCTCGCGTAGCTGTGCTGGAGAGGTCTGATCCTCCATGATAT